TGAGTTTAATAAGGTAATCAACTTTTATAAGAACAAAGTAGAGGAAGCGGTGGGAGAGGCAGATGGTTTGAGTAAGCAAATGGATGCCTTGATTGCCCTGAGGATCAGGGTGGATAATCCGGTAGTTGGAGGGTCTAATATTGTGAATCTTGGCTCCCATGCTTTCTCCTCAGTGTCAGCATCGGTTGTTCATCCTCCAATCAGCGGCAGAAATCCAGGTTAGAGAAATCTGAGCTCTAAGACTTGAAAAAATTGTGTTGTTTTCTATAATTTTTTCCTTTTTAAAAAAAAATTATATTTTTCCCCTTTCTTTGAAACACGTGTTTTGTTCCAAGAATTCGCTGATATTCAAGATAGTATTTCAAGAAAGTTTTTTATTTAATTGCTTTAGAAATTGATGTTAAAGATAGATTGTAGTACATTTTGGTTTTGATTGTGCCAAATGTCTGATTGCTCTTGAATCTAACACTAATTCGAATGGGAAGAATGGTCACGTATGGGGGTGATTCAAGAAGTTGAGATGAGTGCTGAAGCAAATGCAGAAGATAGTAACAAAGGAACCAACAATGAGAATTCCAATAGCCAGAGGAAAACCACTGGAGGCAAGCAAAATATGGAGGCCTTCAGACCTGCTTCGTTAGAAGTTCTGGATCATGTAAAGATCAATGTTGAACCTGAAACTCCAGTATCGACAGTGAAGAATATCATCTCAAGTTCAAAATTAGACTTGTCATACAGCAAGGAAGAACTGAGGAAGGCGGAGCAACTCATGACTCAGGCTTTTGTCGAATTCTACAGAAAGCTTCGATTTCTAAAAAGTTACTGGTAATTGTCTTTCCTCCTCTTTCTATAGGAATCAACAGAAAACATATTTTTTGAGTTTTCAATACAAGTGACTGATCTACTGAATGATGTAACAGCTTCTTGAACCAATTAGCGTTCTCCAAGATCATGAAAAAATATGACAAGGTACCGTAGGTTCTGTTTGTTTGCAACAATTAAATTAACTGAAGCTCTTGGAGTCAATTGTACTATTAGTGTTAATGCAGATCACTCTGCGGAATGCATCCAAGGCTTACTTGAATATGGTGGACAATTCTTATCTTGGCAGCTCTGATGAGGTTAGACAACTAGGGAGTTCTGTCTCTCCACTGGGTGGATTTGCTTTTTCGTTTTTTGTTTTGTTTATTTATTATTATTTTTTTTTAACTCTCTTTCCTTTGTGCTTCAATTTGTTCCCTCCGCAGGTTACTAAGCTCATGGAGAGAGTGGAGGCAACCTTCATTAAGCATTTTTCAAATGGGAATCATAGAAAAGGAATGAAAACTTTAAGACCAAAGCCCAGAAAGGAAAGACACAGAATTACATTTTCAGTGGGTAAGAGATGCTTGTGAATGTTAAAAAGTGCCCTGATGCTAATCTGGGGTTTAGATTATGTGCAAGAGTACTTGTTTAGATTATGTGAAACAGTACTCGAAGGAATTTGCATTGCCTTCTATAAAAATGGATTTCTGGTGATGAATTTCTCGAAGGAATTTGAATATGAAATATAGGCCTTGATATATGCTTTTCAAAGCTTGCTAAATCCTTCTGTATCTGCAGGTTTCTTCGCAGGCTGCTCAGCAGCGCTTTTGGTAGCACTCATTGTGCTTATACATGCCAGAGATATCCTCAATAGTAAAGGAGGTCCTCGATACATGGAAAGCATATTTCCACTTTACTCGTAAGTTGGTGGTGTTTTTTTAGTATCAATTTGCAGTATTAGTCACATTTCCACATGCAAAGGATAACATCCTTCAACCATTTGAGTGCAGATGCTCCTTTCTTGTAAGACTTTTGGATGTTTCTTTCTGTTTGATATCATAATTTTGCTTTACTCTACTGCAGATTTTTTGGATTCATTGTCCTGCATATGCTCGTGTTTGCTGCTAACATTTACTATTGGAAGCGTTATCGGATCAACTATGCCTTCATATTTGGGTTTAAGCAAGGAACAGAATTGGGTTATAGAGAAGTCCTCCTCCTTGGTTCAGGTCTTGCAGTGCTTGCATTGGGAGGTATCCTCTCAAATTTGGATATGGAGATGGACCCAAGAACAAAAAGCTTCATAGCAGTTACTGAATTAATTCCTTTGGCCTTGCTCACTGTACGTAATCCTTTATACGCTGTGCTTGATCTATTATTTCATTCTTCGTGTGTAACTTTTTTAGTTAAATGCTATGTTGTGATTAATTTGTGAGATGATAACTTTTTATTGCTGAGCCTGAGCATTGTTTTTTATTTGAAGCTTGTGCTTGTCATCATATTCTGTCCTTTGAATATCCTATATCGATCGAGTCGGTTCTTTCTGATCCAATGTGCTTTTCACTGTCTTTGTGCTCCTCTTTATAAGGTAACAGCCGAACAGGATTAAGAATCCAAGATACATAGCAATATATTTTCTCTTACAAAACTCAAGTTTGCTTTTTGTTTCTGTAGGTTACCCTGCCAGATTTCTTCTTGGCTGATCAATTTACGAGTCAGGTGCAGATATCTCCTGTTCTAATATGTCGATCATTTTCACTCTATTTTTCATCAGCAATGCTTTGTAAAATCTCCTACCGTCTCATTCTTATTAAATGCTAGGGATTCCATTAGAGTTTGAGAGTTATTTGCTTAATCGAGGTTCTCCTTCATTTGGTTTTGGATATGTTTATTACATATGTTACTTAGACCAAGGCCTGCAGTTGTGGCTTCTAGTCAGATGCAAAAGCACTTTTCTTCTTAACCTCTCAAAAGATTTGGTCTCATTTGTTAGCCTTCTCACTATCAAATTTCAGGTTCAAGCACTCAGAAATTTAGAATTTTACATCTGTTACTATGGTTGGGGGGACTTCACAACGAGGAATAACACATGTAGTGGAAGTAAAGTATTTGATAGTTTTTACTTTGTTGTAGCAATCATCCCATATTGGCTTCGTTTCCTTCAGGTATGTTGCTGATAAAGCAAGAGCTCATCTATAGCATCATTCTTTTCCAATATTTCTTTCTTCTTTTTTTCAGCGTTTTTCGCTCTTGATGCATAATGTTATGTACTTGAACAATTTTCTGACTTTAGTCTGCAACGTTCTAGTGCCTCCGCCGCCTGTTTGAAGAGAAAGACCTGGGGCAAGCTTACAATGGACTAAAATACTTTTCAATAATCATCGCTGTGGCTGCGAGAACAGCTTATGATTTGAGAATGGGAATGACTTTGAAGATATTTGCTGCAGCCACTTCAGGTGTTGCAACGATTTTTGCTACATATTGGGACATTGTAGTTGACTGGGGACTTCTTTGCCGAAATTCAAGAAACCCATGGCTGAGAGATAAACTTGTTATACCAAACAAAATTGTTTACTTTGTAGCAATGGTAACAGGATATATGCCTTAATGTCTTTTTCTTTTCCTAGCGAGTACTCATTTCATTCCTAAATAACCCTAACTTATGGGCAATGGCAGGTGGTAAATGTTGTGTTAAGACTTGCATGGATGCAGACAGTGTTAGGTTTTAGACAAGCACCTTTCCTGCACAGAACAGCCTTAACAGCAATTGTTGCTTGCTTGGAGATAATACGCCGCGGCATTTGGAATTTCTTCAGGTACGATATAAATCTTCCTAGTCTTCAATTCTTACTACTTTCCACCAGAAATAACAGAAAAAATGACTAGTGGCTAGAGGATGAAGTTGGAATTAAAGAATGGCGAATAGTTACGTCTAAGATTCCAACTGAACAATGTATAGATGAATGCACATACTTCAATTTAGTAGTTAACAGAAGATATTCTATGCAGAAGGGTCAACTGATTCTGATGTATAGGTGACCTAATTTGTTTGGTTGTAACAAAATTTTCAAACTCTTTTACTTTTCTACAATTTGGTGTGAAGCACAAGCCTTTTCTGAAACGTATAAACACTGCATGCCCTGTTTTTTTCTGCCCTAATAAACTAGCAAGCATGTAGAGCAGTTCTTATCGCATATAAATGTATGTTGCGGACAGTGAATCTTTGCACCATTAGCAATATATTTGCTTAAAAATCTAATAAATTTGACCAGTGAAATTAATTAGACACATTTTGATTTATATGGAACAGGCTGGAGAATGAACATTTGAACAATGTTGGGAAGTATCGGGCATTTAAATCAGTTCCTCTGCCTTTTCACTATGACGGCATTGAAGAAGACAAGCGTGCATGAACATGTATAGCAAAGAAGAGAGTTGATGTAGGATTGGATGTAACAACAAATTCACATACACATGAGCTCATTTTTGCCCATTACATTGTTTGTTGGTCAGAAGTAGAAATGAGATGTAAGATAGAAAGGAAGCTTCGAGTACAACCACACACAGACACAGGAATGCAAAACAGGAAATTGAGTGCACAGCAGAACTAATATCTATGCTGAGTGTATAATTTTATTTTCCTCGATATCCCCACCCTCATGACGCAAATTCTACCAGTCCGCTGGTATATCTGTGACTCTGTTCCATCCATCAGAACCAAGTCCACATTGCAGCAGAGGAACTCATTACATCCAGTCGACTGGTGGAACTCCGACATCCAATTTAAAAACGGGTGATGTGCTTGGTGCCAGGAATACGCAATGGCAATGGACAGATGAATTCAAGGCTTTATTCACAAACAAAATAGGCAGACCGTGTTACAACGGAAGTGGCAAACTGCAATAAAATCCGGCATTTTCGGCCTACGATGCTCTCAAGAGTTGCCGAGCAATACCACTCTCCCTTGTAGCAGAGATATGTTTTCACTCCCACAAAACTAGTCTTTCATGTGCTTCTGAAAAATTATACTTGCAAGGAGAAACATCTACCATTTTTTATTTCATTAGCAGTTTATAGCAACTGGCAAATAATGATACACTGTTGCAGAACAAACATTATTCAGTTGCCACCAGTTAATAAATTTGTTCAAAAGAGGAAAGAAAAAACAAACAAACGGGTTACAATACAGTATATATTTAGACAGAATGCACATCTTCTTGATCAATCTCCTCTCCATCCTGCATTGTGGCTGAAGAGTTCGAAGTTGAGTTTGCAGCTGTTACAGCACCAATGCTTTCGTCATCCTGGCTCTTGAAAAAAGATGAAAATGAGAGCGGATTAGAGGTGGAGCTTGCTTTTTGAAGACCTCGTATTGCTTTCATGGCAGCAAGAGTGCTGCGATATATGTCAACGGTTTCCTCCCCAAGAGTTGATGATGGCTCAGGTGAGGTGTTTACTGTCTCACTTGATGATGGATTTGACTGATCATGTACGATGTTGGTCGATTCAACGACTTCTGCCTCCAATGGAAAAAGGAGCTCGAGATTATCCTCGCATTCACGGACCAACCTTGTTAGTGGTTCTGTTGTGAAGAAAGGCTGATGAAGGGCAAGTTGGGTGAAAGGTAGGCGCAACAATCCTCCTGTTCGTTTATCATACTTCTTCAAAATCTTAACTAACCCTGTCAAAGCAGAAAAAAAAACATGAATATGGTCTTAGCAGCCAATCTATATTTAGCTAATGATGTTAGAATAGGCAAGGTTACTAGCTACAATGCTTGTAGAAGGCTAAAGTTTTGAGAAGCACCATCTCCCCATGCTATGTGAAAAAGCTACGAAAATGCAAGTTAGAGGGTAAACAATAAATCTAGTTGCAATACCTGCAAAATTTAAGGAGCTATAATTTTTTAAAAGCACCATCTCTCCATGAATGGTGACCAGGTCTTTACGAATATCCATCATTTCTTCACTAAATTCACTCTCTGATGTAAAAACTCCATCCTTGCTGCTCTTTTCCTTTAGACTTTCAATTCTTTCTTTCAGCTCCTGTTGAAAATATATACATTTCAGTAGGGACAAGCATGAGTAGATAGCAGGTTAATACTTTGAACATGAAAGGTCATGTATAAAACATGGAGAAGATTCCTCAGCAAACCCACGGTATTAACTTCAGCAATTGCTTTAGGCTCTTGTAATGAAGATTTTTTAAAGAAGTCAATAACTAATGTACAGTAAACAATTTAATTCAACTACAAAAAGATCAACTAAGAGAAGCAGCATCCCAGTGGCATATAAAACAATTTAGTGAGAGTTGAATATACAATAACAGCACAAAATTTCCAGTATTTTTTTATTTAACCATGCAAACATGGTGAACACGGATAAGGATAGTAGTTTGATGCAGATTTTACTATATGTGATAATTAGAAGAAAAAAACTTCCTAATTTTGATGGAAAACTTGCCCAAATAAAAAATAGTATCAAGAATATGATCATCACACCGTCCTATTATGCAACATGAATGTACTGTAACGAGTAACCTGGCCATAAAGGTCATAAAAGGATGACTTCTCACACCAGAAAGGAGAAAGAGGGAGAGAAGATTTGTCTTAAACTAATGGATGCAGAAAACAGAATCAAGTTGAAGATCTTATTGGTTCTAGGATAACTTTTCCTGATTCAGTTCAAACAAACCAGCACAATATTCCATCCCTTCTGCATCCTATTTACGTTGTTCAATACAAAGAAGGGTCATGGTTGCAGACAATCCCTAAGAAATGGTAAGACATGGGTAAGAGTTCTCGCAGATCTACCTATTACCAAGGAAACCTACAGAAATAAGACAGTGGTGAGGGACTTTTGCCACAGTTGGATGCTTTGCTTTAGTGTAATTGACGAAGTTTAGGCTAGGTCAGTGGAATCTTTATGCTCAAAATCCCGATTCAAGTAGTTATTTATTTGGTACCTCCCAAGGAGGGAGAACTTCTGTTCCAACCCTTCTCAGGGCCAAGGAGCAGATTCTGAAGCAGTAGTGGTGGTTCTTACAGAAGGCAACGCAGCTCCTAACCTCTGGCTATTGCTTCAACTTGGGGACCTGGATTCGTTTCATAAGACTTCTTGAAAAGAAGTTTACACGAATCCTCCACCCAGTTGTGTGGTAGGGAGGAAGGTGGTTTAGAAATGAGGTTTCTCAAAAAACTGGCAAAGCTGATCCCAAATAACTATTTTTTGCCTTTCCATTCACATGCAGCCTCTTAAAATTGTGCTCTTCCAACCTTAATCCAATTTAATCAAGATGAAAGAGGACTTCTAAAAATTCCAAATCTCTCCATTTACAAATAAAAACTTCTAAAATGATGTTTTTGTCCTTCATGATTCATATAAAGCATTTCTGAAAAAAAAATTAATAATCAAAATCATCATTGGCATCATTTTAAAACTTGACTCCAACTGTCTTTGCTAGATATTGATGAAATCCGGAAGATTTGATGAGACATCATCCTGGTTACATACTTCAACTACTTCTTGAGACTGTTGTGTTCAGTTAAATATATGGAGAAATTCGAGAGTGGTGAATATTCATAAATTATGAAAAGACAAGCTAGACACTAGAAAGGCTGGAAAACATTGCCCATTCAAGGCATTAGAATAACCCTACTCAAAAACTGAATCTTGGTCATTAAAAAGTCACTTAGTTTTATGAGGCTACATCGAGTACCTTAACAGATAACGACCCTCGGGTTGGCATCTTCTCACAGCTTCAAGCACTATGGATGTAATTTAACCAGGCTATTTATGTAATATATGGAGGCCATTCTAATGACAGCAAAGTCCTTGATTTCTTGTCAGCAATGAAACCTAGTGTATGCTTTTAACTCCAGTAAAGTATAAGAATTTCTGCTTCAGAAACTCTAAAACTAAAGTACTAAATCAAACAAAGAACAACTGCTCCCAACCCAACTGCCTGGGTTTGGCTGCAGAGTTTCTTCTGCGGCTAGCCGGCTACTAATATCATTCAAAAATTACAACCTGACCTTTTTCTATTTTAAGATATAGCATGTTCCCTCACTTCCCTGTTTTGCTTTCTCATTTACGATCAGCTTGCCATCTTAGCAACTGCACAGCACCCAACCTCACAAAATTTCATAACAAATGCAAATGGCAAAATCATCTAGTCCAATCTGTTGTTATCTTCTGCATCATCAGAATTCTCATGAATTGACTACCTGGCCTTTCGTTTCAATATCATTATTCCGCACATTCGATTTTCTTGCTAATTTCCAACAAACCGACTGTCGAGCATATTTGACAATGGTTAGCCTTATAATTATACTATAGAATAGTCACCGCTACCCCAGCAGGTTCCACAAACTCGAAAAGCCATTCTTAACTTCAACCAACCAAATTCCAATCCCATTGAATCTCCTCCTCACATACTGTCTGATTAAACAACCCAACACAGTTCGGCAAAGGAAAACCACTTTTATGCCTCATTTGGCTTAATATCCCAATATTCTTTCATTCCAATAATTACAGCCACTCTATTTTCTCCATTCTAGTCGTTAATATCCTGGTATTACAAAAATCCTTAAAACAGACTCGTGAGTTCGGATTTACAAGACATAAATATATAATAACCTTTAAAAGGCAACATCAAACTGCAAAACCTTAAATTCCTTGTACTCAACAAAATCTTCCAATTTAAAACCCATATCCACAAAGCAATAAACATGTAAACTCAAAAAAGAAAATTCAAGAAAGAAACCTGAAGGCGTATAACAAAGTCTTCTTCTTTATCAACATAGAAATCATTGAACTTGTCAAGCTCTTCATTGAGAATTCTAACAAACCATTCTTGTAAATCCACCAAAGGCCTATTAGTATTAGCATCATCATCATCATCATTAAGAGTGAGTGGAGGAGGTCGTCGATGGAGTTGAAAACTAATGGGGTGATCGAGGTTGAGCGAATCAACGGTTGGAGGCAATTGTTTGAGGAGTTTCTTGAGAGGCTTGTAACAGAGAAACTTGTCTCTCCACCCAGGAAGGGTTTCTTCCAGGTGGGTCTTGAATTCTTTCCCAAACTTCATTGCTTCTTGCTATGCTATGCTTATGGATTTGTAATTTGTTTGTGTTGCTGCATTTTATTCGTAAAGGAAAGGAAGAGAGATAGAAAGGATCAAAGTTTAGAAAAAAAAACATGATAAGAGAATCCAAAAGGGTAAGGAGGAATTTTGGAATATTAGAAAAGACGAGGAATATGCAAGCTGACTCCTATATTTTATTTTATCCTTCCTTTTCATTTCTGTACTGATACACATTTTGTGGGACTTTATGGGTATATCCAAAAACTATGTGATTTCTTTTTCTGGCGTGAATTGGATAATAAATGATGATGACAAGAGTTGAAATCATTTAAATTCATTTTTTAAATAATGTTCTTGTCCAATTAAATTCAAACCAATGAGTTGAGATCAAGCTTGGCATCTTGTAAATTGCAGTTTTAGGCACAAACGCTATTTCTTTTAGAACTAGTTAGTGCTTTACCATAACGCTGCAGGCGGGCACACAAGTACAAGCACAAGGTTCCAATTATATATAATTTGTCTGATATATACTTTTTAGGTTAAAACTACATTTCAATAATTTTTTTAATTTTTTTAAAATACTTCGTTAATACTTGAAAGAGAAACGAGGAGAAAAAGAAAGAAAGATATTCCTCTGCATGTGACCAAGTTGACCAACCAGGCGGCATAATCAAACCATTCGACTGCTTTTGATAAGTTTTGTCGTAAAATTATGTGTACACCCTCAAAAGAAAGAAAGAAAGGGAAAAAAAAAAAACAAATTTACTGAGATATATATATTTAAAATTTTATTATATAAATTATATCAATTTGATTTTTTTAAATAATTATGTTCTAAAATTTTATTTTTGAATCGGAAAAAATAAATTATAATTTTCAATAAATTTAATTTTAAATTAATTAGATGAAAATTTTTATTAAAAAAATAAAAAGAATAAATTTTAAAAAATAACAGTAATATAATTTAAAATATTTGTTAATTTCAAAATATAAAAAACATATCATATATGTTTTTTGTTCGCCAAAATGTGTCAAAACCTAAAAAATAACAATTAACCTTTCATAATTTTTTTCTAAAAATTCATAAACAAATTATTAAAATAAATTACTAGAAAAAGAAGAAAAAAACTAAGATGCAAGCTCCTGCAGGCAACATTTAATGAAAAAAAAAAAAAGTAGATCGGACGACATGTTGCTGGCTTGTTGTCCTGCAGATAACGTGTCCTCTTTTTGTAATTTTTTACGAATTTAAGACACCTGAAAAATCAGGTTTTCACTTACCGACCTTCCCAATTCAAATCTACCATCATTTTTTTTTTCTTTCTTAAAAACACCTCAAAATTCTAAAAATAAGATTCATAAAATCTTTTAGAATCTCAAAAATTATTTTAATACACACAAAACATATAAAAAATAGAATCAAACTCAAACAATTTAAAATATAATAGGATCCCAATTTACGTCTTTTAATCATTTTATGGCTTTTGGCCACTATAAATAAATTCTTCTTTCCAAAATAAACAAGTTAAATCCAAAATGAAGAGCCATAATGGCCGAAATGAGAGTGGACGTCGCTCATCTCTACTGTCATTCTCTCTTCTCACTAATGATCAAATCTTGATACAAATAGAATAAGAAACATAAATAAAAATGAGGAAAAATTAAGAATAAAGTGCCACATTGGCAAAAATTTGTATATAAAATGTCTTTAAAAAAAAATGAAAACCATAAAAATATAACTGCTGAAAATCACAAAAATGCCTCTGAATCCACGTTGTTTTGTCATAGAATTAACAAAGAAAGAACAGCGCTCCGTGTACAGTTTGTCATGTCTTGGTTTAGTTATTTGGTTAACTGACTTGTCAGGGCTAATTAATAGACAACATAAATTAATCATCTCATCCTCTAGTCCTCTCATTTCAACCCCAATAATATTGTCAGTTTTTCATACTTTTAAGTTCATTTTATAATAGTAGTAAAAGTATATTTTGTTTTTTGAATTAAATTAATCAATTATATATATATATATATATGAGAGAGAGAGAGAGAGAGAGAGAGAGAGAGAGAGAGAGAGAGTGAGTGAGTGATCATCAACTTAACGTCAGCCCACAAACTGCAATTACGACCTACATCTACACGGAGAGAGACGTTTTTGGCTCCTTCAGCCTTTGGGAAGTAAGTTTTTGGCTCCCTCGGCCTTAGTCCTTGGTTTTTACCCAATATGGGTCTTGCCCGGATATGCTGCTTGAATCATATGGCTGATCTTGCCTTACAAGTCAAATCTCTGCATGATATTATCACAAAGAATCTTGTCTTTTGGGCACAGATGATAGCGCCTCGAATCTCTTTGCAATATCATCACAAAGAATGTTGCCTTTTGAGCAAAGATAGTGGCCTCAAATCCCTTCATGATATTATCACACACAAAGATGTCTTTTGTGCAAAGATAGTGGCCATTTTCGGGTTTGATTATCCCTAATGTTGAAATGGTGTACTAACATGATACAATAAATAAATAAATCATTGAGAAAGTGGAGCACAGGATAGAACCCGGCAAAAGCACGATCAAATCAACTTTTTAGCAATGAGGATGTGGCACGACTAGGAGAAGATTCATCAATGATTCAGAGAAAAAAAGGATCAATAATAGCATTATTCAGTGATCACAACAGGAGCTGAAACAGAAGATTTGGTGATCAAACCAAACTGAATCACCAGACATTAGGCATCAAGAAAAGAAAATTAAAAGGGGTAGGTGACAAAGCTGAGCTGCACCAAGGCACCTTGATGCAGCGCTTTATATGGTCTCCAGGGCTTGGAGTACATCAGCCTTCAAATCTTCGAAGTCTTCAACACCAAAGCTGAACCGAACCAAGTTGTCCTTTATCCCATAACTTTCCCTCTCTGGTCGACTCAGATCCCTGATTCAAAATTCAAGGGGAGAACGAATTAACAATATAATAGAACAAAGAGCAAGCAATAACAGAACTCCCAGCAGAATGATAATAGTTGCAACTGTGTTGTTAACTCTTCCCAGATACCAGATACTGCCACATAAAGGCATGTATAAAAACAATCATTCAACAATTCCAACGAACAAGCACATCGCGTCCAACAATTATGCTCAGGCTATGGGCCTTCTTGCTACAAACTTAGAGACGTCATCACAACATGAGACCCATGACATATAATGTACTCATCCAACCGGTCAATAAGGCTGCCTAGTAGTCCATCAAGGCACATGACAAGAGATGAAGATGTAGATATATATGGCTGATTTCCATGAAAAAATAATCAAACAACAAACTGTTATGTACTTCAATACAAGAGCTATTATTTTCCTTGCCATGCTCGAAAAGATGAATCCACTCCTAAATGCGAAGGAAAAAAAGTTATACAGCAATACCCTAATCAATACTAGCTATTCTATGCTTAGATGGCAAGATAGTGTTTGTCTTTCAACCAAGAAGAGATGATTTTTGTTTCTTAGACAGATTGACTAAGCTCATGGTCAGTAAAACCCACAATAAAAGGGAACATGAAAATATTCATGACGAAAATTAATTACATACCAGTAAGACATAATAGCTGGCTGATCCACAATGCTCTCACAACCTCCAAAGGAAGGGGCAATATAAGGAATTTTCAATGCATCCACAAATTTTATGGTAGTGAACAAGTCTCCATCAATCTGCATCATTAAACAGGAAAAGAGCTTAAAAATCTCATATAATGTATACAGATGCACCAACAAGCCATCATCATATTCAACTCAACCAGTCAGAAATACCCACCTCAAAACTCACCACACCACCAAAACCAGTCATTTGCTTCTTGGCAATGTGATGCTCAGGATGATTTGGCAAGCCTGGATAATAAACATGCTTCACCTGCAAATATCATTACATGAGTCCTATTGATTCTTGATACAGGATTCATCAGTCATTCTTAATGTGTACATAGTCAAAGAAGACACTTGTGGGACAAAGGTAACCTCAGGTATACAAGGTGGTCTCCTTACTATTAGGCTTAGCAGTCTTGAAAGTGGAAATCAAAGGTTCAGTTTTACTATATTCCCTGACCTTCAAAATGTATTCTTAGTTTAAATTCAATTTTACATTTTAAATTAATAACAACACTTGTGTGTGTCACATCAAGCAGTTCAACGGAAATTTTGGAACCAATTGATCCATTTTCTCACCCATGAGAACTATCTAACTCTGTACCTAGAAAATATTTCAGAATTTAACGCACCAAATAATTCAGTAATAAGAACCTCTTACTCCACCATCAAAATCACTTTGCTGTTTAATAATAAAGACAAGCGTTGAATATGCTTGCATGGATAAATTGCATGCTCTTCAAAGGTATATTCAAGTTCCATAGCCAATTTGAAACTACTACAATCACCAGCAAAAGAAACTAATTTGGAAAAACATACAGCTTGATCTCTTCTGGACAGAAATACGTGGAAAATATAAAAGCTCCTTTAGCATTTTCTATGCAGTATTTAGGCATACCGATGTCAGTGTAGAGGATTCTTCATCAACCAGAGGACAGAAAAATAAAAATGACAGTAAATCATAATATACATACCTTGGGATGAACCTCTAAAATTTCGGCCATCCTCATTGCTGTTGAGTTCTGTTGCTGTACACGAAGATGCAGTGTCTTCATGCCTCGGATGATAAGATAAGCAGCATTCTATTAAACAAAAAAAAAAAAAACCTCATATTATTTTTCAGATATATAGGATGAATTAATATATAGAATTCAGAATAATATACATATCATCCAGGGGTTAACTAATCAAAGTACTCACCGGGTTGAGTGTACCTCCCAAAACATGATGCAGATTACGAATTTCTGAAACTACCTTCGTGGAACCACTTATGCATCCCCCAAGAACCTGGAATAGATATATGCATTTAATGCTTTAAGTTGGAGAAAACTCACAGTTCATTTGTTAACATCTTTAAACTAATTTATCAAACAGATCCAGC